CCCATGCCCATTAATCTGCGAATCTAGGTCTCATCATTTTGTTAACACTATTAGAATCAGGACACGAATGCGAGTGATGGAAATGAAATTTTTCCAAAAGATGGATAGGCCCTCCCTTAGCAGTAGGGTTAAAAGTTCAGTCAGAGCGGAGGGGTTCAGAGTAGAGCCACTATTCCTCCACATCAAAAGGAGATGGCTAAGTCTGCTGCCTCGAGGACTTCTGGTTTAGGTGAGTATGGAGTAGGTTGCATTGAGCGCAGCTCTTGCAAAGTCTAGTTATTATCTAGTATTTCCAGTCACATTTTGACATTTTTTTTAATATATTAACAGTGTTATATTATTCCAAGACAAGATCGTTTTTGCTTTTGGCATTTATATTGTTGCAAAAAGTTATTAAGAATGCAAACACCTCTCAGCCGAACCTGCGGCCTGCTGCTAATACTGCATCCCCACCTCGTGGTAAAACTTCGCCACTGCCTGAGCCGTCCGACACGCCGCTTGGCGATATGGAGAAGTTCACGAAGGCTGAACTCCTTTCTGAACGTCGTGAAGAAAATTCAGCACTTTTTAAAAAGGAGCTGACAGCAGCATTTGCAGGGAATCTGTATGTCGGACCTGATAGATGTGACACAACTATCAGGTCTGACATGTAGCAGCTAAAAACTGACCTTTCCTCAGACATAACAACCATGCAGCAGGAATTCACTGGGCTCAGAAGCACAGTTATGGAGATGGAGCAGTCCCTCTCTACATGAACAGATGATATTGTCCACCTCCAAGCCAAAGTATGTCAAAAGAGCTGGCCAAATTGGAGAATAAATGCGAAGATTTGGAGTCCAGGTCTCGTCGCAATAATATACACATTGTTGGTGTGCCAGAGGAGAACATACCGTCTACTACAGATGTGTCCATGCTTTTGATGGAGGCATTTCAGCTTGGGAAGGAGACGCCTAACATGTTCCCGCGCTATGGTTGTGAAGCTGCACTATTACGCGGACTGTACTAGGATTCTCCAGAAAGCCAGGGAGCTACAGAGGGTACAGATAAATAATATGACCATTGCTGTCTTACCTGATCACACCGCTAAAACAGCGCGTTGTGCATGCAAACATTCAGGGAGTCTGATTTGGGATCCTCTATCTGGCCAGGTTACGGATCACATATCAGGGATCGCAGCATGACTATGTTTTGCCAGAAGAGGCCAAAGAATATATTAAGACAATAACAACGCAATAAAAACATAGTGGGACATATATTTTTTTGTTTGAAATAGCAAATAATCCAAATTCAAACGTCATTTTGCTGAGTTAAGTTTTTCACTCTGCCAAACACTTGTTTTGTTCTGCTTGTCTAACAGTAAAGGATAATTTTTATTTATTTTTTTTATTTCTGCCTTCTAATTTATTCGGAAATTACTCTGTTGGAGCTTTAGTTTGACATGGTTCGTTTTGTAAGCGTTTTCGTTCGGATTGCTCCACATGGGAGTGTGCACTGCTGTCGCTATCGTTTGGGGATGGAGGCTTTTGCTGTGCAGGTGGGAGGCGGGAGGGTTTGACGTGTTATTATTATTTTTATTCTGAGGCTGTACTTCTGTTGTTGTGGTTTTGGTTTGTTTGGTTTATGTGTGAGTGTGCTTTTTCTCCCCTTTTTTCCTTCCTTGGGGTGAAGGAAAAAGTATTTTCTTTTTAATCTGTCTGCAATGATCAGCACTAGAGGTCAATTCTTAGGCAATAATAGTATTCTATTTAAACTTGGAAAGTAAAAGGTATGAATAACCCAATTAAGTGATCTAAAATAATCTCACATCCATCTAAAAAGTGATGTAATGTTTTTGCAAGAGACCCATTTGCGGAATAGGGATCATCTTAGGATCAGATGTCCATGGGTGGGACATGCATTTCATTCAATGTTTAATTCAAAAGCCAGGGGGGTGGCTTAATAAACAGAAGGGTGCAGTTTACGGCCTTCGAGAATAAAGCAGACAAAAACGGGAGATATTTAATTGTTGTAGGCACCATGCACAATCTATCCGTCCTTTTAGTCAATGTGTATGCGCCAAATTTTGATAATCCAGGTTTTACAGATGCACTTTTGAGTAGTCTCCCTTCTCTTGATACTCATCTTTTGATATTGGGTGGTGACTTAAACTGTGTTATTGATCCCACCTTAGATCGCTCGAATCCTCGGACCCTGATCCAATCCTCTATGTCCAAGTCTATTTCAGAGTTTATGTTTCAGAATGGTTTTGTAGATCCTTGGAGGTTTTCTAACCCTACTAACAGAGCGTATTCTTTCTTTTCTCAGGTACATCAGTCTTTTTCATGTATTGCTTATTTTTTTGTGGACCGTTATCCCTTATCCCAAAAGTACTGTCATCTACATAACATCCAATTGTCATTTCCGATCACGCACTACTTAGTGTTGATATCAAACTCATAGCCCAGTCCAAACTTTGACTACACAAATTTGTGACATAGAAAGGTTGTAGCCAGTCCCGCCCCTGATTTTTATAAAAGATGACTTTACTTGCAGACCGAATTTGATTTGCTTTCTACGGCAGATGCTGAGTGCCTTTTACTTTGTGCACGCACGACTTATTATGAACATGGTGATAAGTCGAGAAGGCTTTTGGACCATCAGTTAAAATGTAAGGCTTCTTCTTGATTAATTTCTCAAATTAAGGATGCAGCAGGCAACTTGGTCTCTGATTCAAAGGAAGTGAATGAGGTGTTTAAGAAGTATTATTCCTCTCTATATTAATCAGAATTCACTGCTGATGCCTCTGAGGTCCATTCTTTTTTGTATTATCTTACAATGCCAACTGTTGATCCTGTTGTAGCTGAACAATTAGATGCCCTTCTTAGGTTGGATGAAATTGTGCATGCAATCAAAACCACGCGCAATAGTAAGGCAACAGGACCTGATGGGTTTTCGGTTAAAATTTTAAAACCATTTATAGACAAGTTAGCCTCAATACTTCTTTCAGTGTATAATGAATCTTTAGAATGTGGTCTATTGCCCCCTACATTGTCTCAAGCACTAATTACTGTTCTCCTAAAGAAGGGTAAGGATCCTACGTCTTGCACCTCGTATAGGCCTATTTCACTGCTGAATGTGGATGTTAAAGTCTTGGATAAAATTTTGCAACTTGCCTTGAAAAAGTTCTTCCTATTATTATTTCGGATGAACAGAATGGTTTTATTAAAGGTTGTTCTTTAATGTTCGCATGCTTTTGAATGTAATTATTTCCCAACACTCAACTATTAATCCAGAAGTAGTTATTTCATTTGACGCTGAGAAAGGTTTCGATCGCGTGGAGTGGAGCTTTCTCTTTGCGGTCTTACAAAAATTTGGTTTCAAGGACCGATTCATTTCATGGATTTGATTGTTGTTCAAGTCACCCCAAGCCAGTGTCTACACAAATGGTGTTTCCTCTGGTTACTTTGCATTGTTGTCTTCTTTATACTCTTCCAATTTCTCCCCTTTGATCACTCAAATTCAATCAGATTTCCAGAGATGGAATTCACTACCTTTGTCCCTAATTGATTGGATTAACTCAGTAAAGATGAACATTTTGCCTCAATTGTTATTTCTGTTTCAGAGTATTCCTGTATTTTTGCCTAAAGCTTTTTTCAAAAAGTTAGATCAGCTAGTTACATCATTTTTGTGAGGAGGGAAACATCCCAGAGTGAGGAAATCACTATTACAGAGACTGACATTTGATGGTGGTCTTGTCTTGCCTAACTTTTTATTTTACTATTGGTCCTCTCATTTTCACAAATTGACCCACTGGCTTGAATCTCAAGAATTGCTGTGGCGTAAACTGGAGCGACTGTCGTGCACTTCCTCCTCCTTAGAAGCTTTAGTGTTCTCTCCACTACCACTCAACCCTTCTCATATCACAAAAAACCCCGTGGTACAGTCTAGTCTTAAGATTTGGTCACAATTCAGGGGTCATTTTAAGTACATCTCTGCATCAGTACACATGCCCATCACACAGAACCATCTATTTTCTCCTGGTCTCATTGATGGTACTTATGTACAGTGGAAACATCATGGTATTAACACTTTTAAAGATTTTTATATAGCTGGCACTTTCCCAAGTTTTTCAGATCTCTGTTCAGAAACAAATCATCCGGCTACCCATCCATTTCGTTATTTTCAGGCGTGGCATTGCACTTATGCCCACTTCTCTTCCTACCCTCTTCTTCCAAATGTCCAACCGTGGGAGGAATTGTTGTCCCAAAAATAAATCAATTATATCTTTGATATATAAATGACTTATGGATTTACATGTCCATTAAGTGGTTAAAATTAGGAGGGCTTGGGAGCAGGAGTTAGGAGTAATCTTTTTGGATCAACAATGGGAGAAAGCAGTATCCCAGTCAACACACATATGTGGGGCCCAAATAGGGAGCAGCGGGGCTAATATTTGGGGTCCACTTGGGAAACCCAACTGGGGTCCAGCTAATTTTGTCATCAGTTTCCATGGTGGCCCCAAATGTGTTTGCCCAGATGGATTAATAATGGGACCCGGATAGGCCCAGCCAACAAATGAGTATGGGGCCCAGATGGGTAGAAGCAGGTCTGATGGTTGGGGCCCACTTGGGTTACCCACCTGGCACCCAGCTACATTTGTCCTCAGTTTCCATGATGGCCCCAAATGTGTTTTCCCAGATGGGTTAATGATGGGTCCCAAATCAGCCCCAGACAACAAATGAGTATGGGGCCCAGATGGATAGAAGCGGGTCTGATACTTGGGGCCCACTTGGGTTACCAACCTGGGACCCAGCTATTTTTGTCCTCAGTTTCCATGGTGGCCCCAAGTGTGTTTGCCCAGATGGAATTTTGGATAATGAAAGTAAGCTATAATTTAAATCACCTGTACAACAAAGCCAGTTTATCTTTTTTATTAATACTGATTACTATGAATTTTTAAAACAGTATGTTTTTTTTATATAATACATTTTTTTGTTTGGAGAACATGTTGACAAAAATGTCCACAGTATACATAAAGTAATAACAAATAAATGTTATACAGTTTAAAGGAAAAACAAATGCAGCAAACCACAGCTTCTCACTCATTCACCAATCCATTGGTCCTGAAAGAAATAAAATAAAATAAAAAGAAATAGTGGCATTTTCACAAACAAAATCAGATTCGCGATAGTACTGGAGTTCTTTTGGAGGTTGTGCTGTTCAAGTTGTTTGACCTCCTACATTGAACTCTTTGAAGACCATGAGTATTCATGGAAACAGAAAAGCTATTTACAAGTGGCAAGTGGTTAACCAGTTTTTTGCATGCTGCAGCACCTCATAATGAACACAAAACAAAATAGTAAAATATAACAATGGCTACATCTACCAAGGAGAAAACATATTCCACTTCTTGAGGTGTGTGCCAGGCGGGCGCCAATGATTTTAATGTAAATCAAAAATAGGGCCATCAGTGTGTCACCAATCACACTGGTAAAAATACAGGCAAATTTTTTTTTCCATACTTACATTTATACTGTGACACTGCTTAAAATCTCATGGCCATGCCGGTGCATCTCAATTACATGACCACTTTAAGACGGCGCAACCAGAAGATGTAGCGACCCCGAGTCTCCGTTTCAAGTTTTATTTAAAGCGTGGACCTTTATATACCAGATTTTAAATTTTGTAATCAAAACCAGAGTTATGATTAAAAAAAAAATAGATGCAACATTTTATTTCTGAATAAAACTGCTGTATTTACTGCGAGGAGAAACAGTAAAAACAGTGTTTTCTATGGACAGCGCTAGCACGCACTCTGCTTGCGCGTGAAAAAAAGAAAAACACCCCTTCCCTATTAGTGTTAAAGCGTACCATGTCGACCAATCAAAAAATTATATGGTAACATGTGGCATTTGGTTGTTTAGGAAGAGGGGAAAGTTTTAAGAGTGATGCCGGCGAGTGAGTGAAAGAAAGAGAGCGAGCAAGTTTTGAGTTGTTAAGAGATTTTTGACGTTTGGCGTGTGTTCAGTGTGTAGTGTAGTGGGATAAGCCCTGCTATCAGGCCTGCAGGGTTTTTCCCTGTGGTTCTCCTCTGCATTACAGTGAACAGAAACAATTTTTTGGGAGTGGCACAAATAATGTGTGTGGTATCTTATTTGATGCAGAGCACCTGATTGTTCTAGATAGATAGATACTACATTTTTAGATAAATAGTTGCATATAACCTTGTTTGCAAAACTTGTGCAAAGGTTTTTATAATTTACAAATTCTATTTCCATTTCAAAATTTGAAAATGAATCATTAGGCATGTAGTGGTTGTTACAGTAAAAATTTAGACCTGAATTTAGGTTTATTGTATTAATAACGTACTAAAAAGAATGATACTAAACAAGGTAAGCTTAATAGTTTTTAAAGGTGAAATATAGAGGTCAAATCAAAAGTAGTCAAAAATGGCCAATTATACCCTGGACCCCACAGGATTAAGTCACTGATTAAATTGTTTGGAAGAATGACTACAGCTGTAGTGAGCATCTGTTATTCAAACATCAACAAAATATCTTACAACTAATGAACTTACCATATAGCACTTCAAAAACTTTAAGCCCTCGAAATTCCCGCTTTCCATGGCGCCCAACAAAGTTATATTGCCTGGAAAGAGCATTGTCCATAATGAAGGCCATCATTCTTCTTGTGGCTTCATCAACAGTTCTCCCTCCGATCTCTGCCACAACAGCAACCTTAGGACACACAAGGACAATAATTTTACTGACAGTAGTACCATCAGTCACACCTAAAAGAAAGCAAGCACAGCTACACAGTAATTAGGCTCTATAATATTGATGCTATTTGACTGAGAAAGAGTTAGGTGTCGAACACTGTCTGATGCAAATGCAAAGAGCTAAATGATTCACCAAAAGTAATTTCTTAAGTTTTGGGTTTGGCATGGCACAACTTATAACTAGGTAATATTTGGAGAAGTTATTTTATTAACAAAAATAGCAACTTTTGTTCAGCTCTCCTCCCACTCCTTCATTGCACTGACCATGTTCGAACAAACAGCAACTTTCCTTGATCATAAATGCTAGCTTGAAACACAGACTGACTGAGGCATTAAGCGTTGAATATTGTTATTACATCATTATTATTTACCACTTCTTTTAGGAAGACAGGGTCTGCCAGTTTTTGCTCCAGTGCTGCCACATCTGCTACTGTCCGGATGGGAAATACAGCACCTCGGGTAATACTGCAGCAACTGGTCCATCACGTTGTGTAAGGAGAGACTATAGCATTCGACTATGCACCCTCTGAGTGTCCTTAATGTCTTCCAGGAGGGTTAGAACACATACAAACATGCTTGTATTGGTGGATTGCAGAAGTTGTCTTGGAACTGGTTGTGAAACCACAGGTGAAGGAGTTGAGGGTTGTAGCGGCTGAACAAATGGATGAGTGATGTTCAGGAAGGGAGTTTCATTTGAATGTCTATTCTCCATTGCTGATGGTGGTGAGGTCTCTGGCTGTTCCGCAGTGTTGTCCCAATCCTCATCAGAGCTCGGCAGGATCACTGGTCTTAAAAAAAACAAACAAACAAAATACACAACACAAACACACACACACACACACACACACACACACAAATAATAATCCAAACACATAATTTAGGGTAGTGGTTAGTTCTACAAACTAAAAACATTAATGTATATAATGGCATCAAAAAAAGTCTAAAACAGATTTTTAAGTCAACAAGTTTTGAAATCATATCTGAACCTGATGAGCAGCAAGGGTCTGCTAAAGAAACTGTCAGTTTGTTTTTGTTTCCTATAATCTCAATAATACATTTTTGCTTTTAAGGTGTTTTTAACATAATTACCTCCTTTTCCGCTTCCCTTTTCCCAATCTGCTTCCAGAATCCAAGTAAATTCCACCCAGGAAGGTTTCAAATGGGAAGCAGGAAATGCTGTCTAAAGGGCCAAACTTCCGGACATCTTGAGCTAGGTGTATTAAAGAATGTATATTATAACCAACAAAGTCAAGACCATAAATCAAAGCAAAATCTTTCACAAACTGCTTCAAAACATCCTCTGCAAAATCACGGTCAGTTATCAATGTACAAATCAGGACTTAGAAGAATTCTTATAGATACAGATAACAGTATAAAGCATCTATACATTTGGCTTGGTATATTATTCAGTAGAACAACTGGGCTTGTGTAACACTGATGTAGCGCTAATGAATTAATACAGGCTAGGGATTAGTGTGATTTTATGGTTATTATTAATCAGAAGATTTAGGGACGCCACTGGAGCTGATGGGCAGTAATTAATAAATACACACTGTCACGGTCCGGGGCAGCGGCCGTGTGGAGAGTGGAAGGAGGACAAAAAAAATAGTTGCATATAACCTTGTTTGCAAAACTTGTGCAAAGGTTTTTATAATTTACAAATTCTATTTCCATTTCAAAATTTGAAAATGAATCATTAGGCATGTAGTGGTTGTTACAGTAAAAATTTAGACCTGAATTTAGGTTTATTGTATTAATAACGTACTAAAAAGAATGATACTAAACAAGGTAAGCTTAATAGTTTTTAAAGGTGAAATATAGAGGTCAAATCAAAAGTATGTCAAAAATGGCCAATTATACCCTGACCCCACAAGGTGGAAGTCACGAAAAGTTGATTCTGAATGACTGCAGCTGTAGTGAGCATCCGTTATTCAAACATCAACAAAATATCTTACAACTAATGAACTTACCATATAGCACTTCAAAAACTTTAAGCCCTCGAAATTCCCGCTTTCCATGGCACCCAACGAAGTTATATTGCCTGGAAAGAGCATTGTCCATAATGTAGGCCATCATTCTTCTTGTGGCTTCATCAACAGTGCTCCCTCTGATCTCTGCCACAACAGCAACCTTAGGACACGCAAGGACAATAATTTTACTGACAGTAGTACCATCAGTCACACCTAAAAGAAAGCAAGCACAGCTACACAGTAATTAGGCTCTATAATATTGATGCTAATTGACTGAGAAAGAGTTAGGTGTCAAAGTCAAACACTGTCTGATGTGAATGCAAAGAGCTAAATGATTCACCAAAAGTAATTTCTTAAGTTTTGGGTTTGGCATGGCACAACTTATAACTAGGTAATGTTTGGAGAAGTTATTTTATTAACAAAAATAGCAACTTTTGTTCAGCTCTCCTCCCACTCCTTCATTGCACTGACCATGTTCGAACAAACAGCAACTTTCCTTGATCATAACTGCTAGCATGAAACACAGACTGATTGAGGCATTAATCATTGAATATTGTTATTACATCATTATTATTTACCACTTCTTTTAGGAAGACAGGGTCTGCCAGTTTTTGCTCCAGTGCTGCCACATCTGCTACTGTCCGGATGGGAAATACAGCACCCTCGGGTAATACTGCAGCAACTGGTCCATCACGTTGTGTAAGGAGAGACTGTAGCATTCGACTGTGGACCCTCTGAGTGTCCTTAATGTCTTCCAGGAGGGTTAGAACTAGAGATGGACCGATCCGATATTACGTATCGGTATCGGTCCGATACTGACCTAAATTACTGGATCGGATATCGGAGAAAAATAAAAAATGTAATCCGATCCATTAAATATCACGAAAGCACCTCACAAAACTTGCAACACGCGTAACTCACCTCAGAACGTTAGCACGTCGGAGCAGTATGCATCACGTGATAGAGCGGCTGTGGCATGCGGGACCTGGTGGTCTGGATAGCATGTGGAGCTTCGCTAGCAACCCGGCATTTCATCTCCGACAAAGTTATCCCGAGAGAAGTAAAGCAAGTGTGTAAGTCCATCTCTGAATGTTTGTAAAGCATTCCTGCGTTAAGCTTAACGAGCGACTGCCTCTCCTCTCCGGCTGCTACTTCAATCTGAAACTGCTTAATGATCAGCTGATCGGCTTTTCTGTCGCGAGTCCGTCTCTCTGGTTTGTTTTTGGCCCACTTTGCACCAGAAAGAGGAAACCAGCGGTGAACAACAGCAGCCGTTTAAGCTTGATCAGCTGTTGTTAGAATGTATTTAATATTACTTTCTACTCGATCTTTTTCTACGTAGCTGACGGCTGGTAACTGTGCAGGGGCGGATCTAGCAAAGTTTAGCCAGGGGGGCCGATAGGGCATTAACAGGGAAAAGGGGGCACAAAGACATACTTTTCTTTCTTATTCTCATTTAAAATGTCGAGCTTTTAATAAATAATTATCTGACACCCAAAGTTTTAATTTGATGAAAAATATCAAACTGACAGTCCTAGTAAGCTATAGTACTTTTTCCTTTGGGAAGGTACCATCTGTGCAGTCTGCAATTTGTTGAAGAAAGATGTTGAATCTATTTAATATTCTTGAAAAATAATTATTTCTGTGCATTTTTTTTCCACTGCATCAAATTAAGTTGATTACGTCGATTAAGCATCATGAGGTGGGTGAGGGGTGGTTCCCTATTTTTTATTTATTTATTTTTGTTGTTGCTGGGAGTTGGAACCCTATTAGTTAGGTTGCTTAATATTTACGCTAAGTACTCTTTAAAATACCAGAATAGGGAGGATGGTGAGGTCTAAGTTTATTAGATTGATCAGTATTGCTGAACTATGAAATTTTTTTTTGATACAGGTATAACAGAATAGCTTTAGTGTAGTTGTTGTTTTAAACTTGAGTATGAACTTCAATCAAAATGCAGCAAGATATTTAAAAAACAGTTTTGTTGATTAAAAACACTATATCGGATTCATATCGGTATCGGCAGATATCCAAATTTATGATATCGGTATCGGACGATAAAAAAGTGGTATCGTGCCATCTCTGTAACACGTACAAACATGCTCGTATTGGTGGCTTGTAGAAGTTGTCTTGGAACTGGTTGTGAAACCACAGGTGAAGGAGTTGAGGGTTGTAGCGGCTGAACAAATGGATGAGTGATGTTCAGGAAGTGAGTTTCACTTGAATGTCTATTCTCCATTGCTGATGGTGGTGAGGTCTCTGGCTGTTCCGCAGTGTTGTCCCAATCCTCATCAGAGCTCGACGGGATCACTGGCCTTAAAACAAACAAACAAACAAAATACAACAAACATACACACACAAATAAATAATAATCCAAACACATAATTTAGGGTACTGGTTAGTCCTACAAACTAAAAACATTAATGTATATAATGGCATCAAAAAAAAGTCTAAAACAGATTTTTAAAAGTCAACAAGTTATAAAGCGCTATTTTGAAATCATATCTGAACCTGATGAGCAGCAAGGGTCTGCTAAAGAAACTGTCAGGTTTTTTTTTTCTTATAATCTCAATAAATTTTTGCTTTTAAGGTGTTTTCAACATAATTACCTCCTTTTCCGCTTCCCTTTCCCAATCTGCTTCCAGAATCCAAATAAATTCCACCAAGGAAGGTTTCTAATGGGAAGCAGGAAATGCTGTCTAAAGGGCCAAACTTCCGTACATCTTGAGCTAGGTGTATTAAAGAATGTATATTATAACCAACAAAGTCAAGACCATAAATCAAAGCAAAATCTTTCACAAACTGCTTCAAAACATCCTCTGCATAATCACAGTCAGTTATCAATATACAAATCAGGACTTAGAAGAATTCTTGTAGATACAGATAACAGTATAAAGTATCTATACATTTGGCTTGGTATATTATTCAGTAGAACTGGGCTTGTGTAACACTGATGTAGCGCTAATGAATTAATACAGGCTAGGGATTAGTGTGATTTTATGGTTATTATTAATCAGAAGATTTAGGGACGCCACTGGAGCTGATGGGCAGTAATTAATAAATACACACTGTCACGGTCCGGGGCAGCGGCCGTGTGGAGAGTGGAAGGAGGACCCAAAACGCAGCACTTATTCAGGTGTGAGGGTGATTTATTGATAATATCAAACACAAAGTGGAGATGGCAAACAGAACTAAGGACGAACTAAACTGGGATAAACTACACAGAGGAGTGGCAAACCTGAACATGAAGGGAGAACAGCAGGGAGAGCACGCAGAGGATTACACCAGGTATGAACACAGACGACGCGACGAGGAGCAGAGGAAAACACACACCATAAGTACACAGAGAGACACTGGGAAATCACACACAGGTGGGAGACACAGCTGGACCTGGTTAACCTGACGAGACAGGGGAACACTGACACCAGGGACCAATAGAGGGAGCACAAACCCAAAACCCAGTATCTAAAATCCCAAAACACAAACCATCCCAAAACAGCCATGAATAATAATGAAAGTAATAACAATAAAGAACACAAACACAAAGTCACTCAGTCATGGCCGCAGGACCATGACAGTACCCCCCCCTCAAGGGCTGGCCCCTGACAGCCACAGAAGCACACCACCAGACCCGGGCGGGCGGCAGGGGGCCCAGGACGGAGGGACCGGGCCACGACCAAAACGAAGGCCCCAGAGTCCCAAACAAATGTTCACAAAAAAAACTCACAGGGGAGCAGAGTCCAAAACACAGTTCAGGCGGCCGGCCAGGAAGAAGGCCGTGGAGGCGCACAAAAGGTTCAGGAGGCCGGCCGTGCGGAAGGCAATGGCGGCCACTCAGGCGAAGAGGGTCCGGGGGCCGGCCGTGCGGAAGGCAACGGCGGCCAGTAGCGGTCCGGGGGCCGGCCGTGCGGAAGGCAACGGCGGCCAGTCAGGCCGTTTAGCTCCAGACCCAAACGAGGCTGGGCCAGGCGAGGCTGAGGGCACGGAAGCCGGGACCGCAGCAGGCGGAGATGATGATGCAGACACGAAGGCTGGACCAGACGATGCTGATGATGCTGATGCTGGACCAGACGATGCTGATGATGCTGATGCTGAAGCTGGGCCAGGCGAAGCTGACGCTGTAGCTGAAGCTGGGCCAGGTGAGGATGAAGCTGGACCTGAAGCTGGGCCAGGTGAGGATGAAGCTGGACCAGAATCAGGCGAGGATGAGAGCCGGGCCAGGCGAGGATGAAGCCGGGCCAGGCGAGGATGAAACCGGGCCAGGCGAGGATGAAACCGGGCCAGGCGAGGATGAAGCTGGACCAGAACCAGGCGAGGCTGAAGCCGAGGATGCAGCCGGACCAGGCGATGAAGAAGCTGTAGCTGAAGCTGGGCCAGGTGAGGATGAAGCTGGACCAGAATCAGGCGAGGATGAAGCCGGGCCAGGCGTGGATGAAGCCGGGCCAGGCGATGATGAAGCTGTAGCTGAAGCTGGGCCAGGTGAGGATGAAGCTGGACCAGAATCAGGCGAGGATGAAGCCGGGCCAGGCGTGGATGAAGCCGGGCCAGGCGATGATGAAGCTGTAGCTGAAGCTTCAGGCTGAGGCGTGGCAGTAGCAGGTGGTAGCCTGCAGGTGATGGTACTGCAGGAGGCTGGAGCAAGCAGCCACAGGTGGAGAAGCAGCCACAGGTGGAGAAGCAGCCACAGGTGGCCGGACGGGCTCCTCGGGCCCCCCAGCCGACGTGGCAGCCGGTGTGGCATGAGGCCGGACGGGCTCCTCGGGCCCCCCAGCGCGAACAGGAGCTGGACGGGCGGGCCAGAGCGAAAGGAGGCTGGACGGGCTCCTCGGGCCCCCCAGCAGGCGAAACAGGAGGCTGGACGGGCTCCTCGGGCCCCCCAGCAGGAAAACGGAGGCCCGGGCCAGCAAACAGCGAGCGGGCACCGGGGCCCCCGGCACACACAAAACAAAACTAGGAGGCACGTGGGCCTCTGGCACACATGAAACAAAACCAGGAGGCACGTGGGCCTCTGGCACATACAAAACGAGCACTGGCCTGCACATGAAACAAAACCAGCACGTGGCCCACATGCACACGTGGGCCTCTGGCACATTTGAAACAAAACCAGTAGGCATGTGGGCCTCTGGCACATTTGAAACAAAACCAGTAGGCATGTGGGCCTCTGGCACATTTGAAACAAAACCAGTAGGCATGTGGGCCTCTGGCACATTTGAAACAAAACGCAGTGGTCTGGATTTGACAAGGCATGTGGGCCTCTGGCACATTTGAAACAAAGTGCTGGACTGAACAAAGTAGGCATGTGGGCCTCTGGCACATTGAACAAATAATGTGCTGACAGGGGCTGCAGCTGCGCAGAGCACTGACCCTGCTCCGGCAGTGACAGCCCGGTGCAGTTCACAGCTGGCATCATGGCCACCAGGGGTCCAGAGTAAGCTGAGGGTAGTAACCCCGCCTCTGGGGAAGCCCCGGAGTGAGTAACAGTCACTAGTGTTGCCAGCTGTTGAGGAACAGGTCCGTAATGTAACAGTTCATCTCCCTGCCTAGAAACAGCGGTGGAAAAACAGTGTGAAAACTGTGATTCAGCTATTACCGGAACCGTGGGTTGTAGCGATGCTAGCGGTGATGGTGGTGGCTGAGTGGCTAACTGGAGCGGCGGCAGAACAGGCGATTGCGCCCCCAGGGAGGCTAACGGCTGAGCTACTGACTGGGGAGCTTGTGGCCGAGCACTGAACTGAGCCGGAGAATGGCGATAAAGTCCTGGCTCAGAAGGGGTGGCAGAGACACAGTCTGTTAGTCTTGCAGAGGGTCTGTAAACGCCCACTTGGGAAGGATCAGTCACCACGAAGGTGGGTAAGCGATCCATACAGTCTCCCATCCCGCTCTGAATAGCCCCAGAAAACAAAGTCCCGGAAACTGGGGAAACCAAAGCGTCCCGCTCACTCACCGCATCGGGCTGCTCGAAAGGGAATGCAGACGGAGGGTGAAGACCAAGGTCCAAAAGGAGAAACTCCTGCTCCCACGAACAGAGCGAGCCCAGAAGCCATGGGAGACCGGTCACCAGACGCTGTAGCCGCCTCTCTATAGCGCGCTGGGACGTGCCACCCGGGTTTTCCAGCCACAGGTCAATGAGCTCCTGTGTGGCATCGATTAGATTCTCCCGTAGCTCCTTGGACGGGTTAAGCGCTGCTGGGTCCATGTTGTGGTCGCGTCGTACTGTCACGGTCCGGGGCAGCGGCCGTGTGGAGAGTGGAAGGAGGACCCAAAACGCAGCACTTATTCAGGTGTGAGGGTGATTTATTGATAATATCAACACAAAGTGGAGATGGCAAACAGAACTAAGGACGAACTAAACTGGGATAAACTACACAGAGGAGTGGCAAACCTGAACATGAAGGGAGAACAGCAGGGAGAGCACGCAGAGGATTACACCAGGTATGAACACAGACGACGCGACGAGGAGCAGAGGAAAACACACACCATAAGTACACAGAGAGACACTGGGAAATCACACACAGGTGGGAGACACAGCTGGACCTGGTTAACCTGACGAGACAGGGGAACACTGACACCAGGGACCAATAGAGGGAGCACAAACCCAAAACCCAGTATCTAAAATCCCAAAACACAAACCATCCCAAAACAGCCATGAATAATAATGAAAGTAATAACAATAAAGAACACAAACACAAAGTCACTCAGTCATGGCCGCAGGACCATGACACACACAACACAAAAAATGGTTTTGCAGGTACCATGTATTTAACCAAACCCCAAAAAAGAATAACAAGAAAAGAAAAACTTAAATAATCACTCCTGCTGCAGCTATCCAATTAATCAAAAACCCAGTGAGGGTACACAAAGACAACTAAACAGATTTATCTGGCTTATACCAAGCAACACAGGTTCTCAAAAACAGTTCCCCCATAAACACCACATGTTAATATCAAATCCACTGATCCACACTGAAGTCCATGAGTTTAATCTGAATGTCCATGAGAGATGTCCAAGCGCTATTGTCCATAAATGAAAGGAATGGTGTGTATGATTGCGGAAATCAGTGTATTTGGAAAATGGGGACAGAGCGTTGTCTTTGATAGCTTCCTACCCAACCGGTGGAAGCGTCAATTGCAGAATGTGTCCTGCTCCTAGCCGTTCATTGGCTCGCCATCCTTTTCCATACCCCAAAAAGGTTCACCTGGCCTGCATTAAATAAACAAGGCCAATAAGAAATCACAAGAATAATACAAAAATGTCAGCCAATTAAGCTAAATACATTAAGTTATTCTTGTTCCTGTGTACACAATTTATAAATAAATAAACAAACAATATATTGGTTAAATATAATATTCCTAACCAATAAGGATTTAACTGAAAACATTTCAACTGCTACATACATACATACTATGTAGCTCCACAACATTTGTTATTCAACAACTATCAGTCAAATCAAAATCAAATTGTTTGGACCGGCAGCAGCCGATTAGCGTCAGCTGGTAGCAATACAAACAGTCAATAGTTGGGTTGCGGTCACGTGGTTCTGATGACGTGCGGAGGCAGCGCGATTTTTGAGTGGAGGGCGGAAGTAAACATGGAGGACACTGTGGAGAGTCAGGAGAGCAGCTATTGTGCAACTTTAGACCCCGTTTCTCGGGAGAGATATAAACAGATAGTTAAAAAATATATCGGACGTGATCCGTATTCTTTGAAAATGTCCGAATACACCACAGAAGTAAAGGATTTGCCTACTATCGAGGCTGTGGATATCACCAACTACTTGGTCCTCCAGACTTCTTACTACACTAGGCAGCAAATGAAAGCTTTCAAGAGTCTGGAGGCGTACAATTTTTTTGTCAGCGGGTGGGTCCACAACCTTGGAACAAAACGTCTCCGTGATGGATACAGTTTGGTGTTTGCAAGGGTGAGTGTTTGTTCTTATATTGCTTTATCTTAAACACGCTAACAGTTAGCGGTAGCGGCTTTAACGTCAACAAACATGCCACATCCTTAGGACTTCGTTAGAGTGACAGTTGTTTGTTTCAAGGTAAACCATTCTCAGAGGTCTAACGAGACACCTTACAGATAATGGCATCTTTTTCTCTTTGACATGATTCTTGTTTGTTTTACATCTCAGCACAATATCTTACCTGGATAAGTGAATGTCTCATTCACACTGAAGTCTTCTGGTTGTGGATTCTCAGCTGGAAGCTGCAGTTCGGGGTTCTCCACTGTCACTAGGCTCAAATCCGGGCTCTCAGCCGTCTGTTGCATATCCAAAATCGCCTCTGCACATCGATGCTGTTCTGCCTTAAGCTTCATTCTTTTCTCTCGTTTGAGAACTGATTCCGATCTGGGTTTTCGTTCGTAGCCGAGATTGACCGTCGGAGCCCAGTCCTCCGACTCTTCGTCATCCAAAGCACTTGGGCAGCCTATAGTCCCAATCAAGTCAATATTAGACTACTAACTTAAAAGCACTAAGTAAACGAGAATTTAACGACAACCTAATGCTAATAAGTTCGTTTGCAAACATAACATTACCTCTGACGAAGTGGTCGCTGCAGACACGGGCATTGGCAGACTCTGCTCCTCCCGACTGTAAACGTAAATTTAAAATCCATTTTTTCCTACGTTTTTCGGTTAGAATTTTCCATTTTTCTCCTCTTCGTTGGGCTATTTTTGGTACCCTAAAATACCGTTTATCAGTTTCTCGGGTCGACCTACTGGAGCATCCGTAAACACAACAGGACATAGGCATTTTGCGTACTGTCTGTCTGTGATTTTGCGCTTATCTTTTTCACTTCCGACCGCCAGTCAAATTTCGCGCTTTACGTCGACGTCACGTCTACGTCAAATGAAACCTAGCTCAATTAAAAGTTCAAACTCACCAATTCCGTTCTGTTCAGTGCACAACAACATTATGGCTCTGGCTCACAGTAATCAGCATCTAAGTTGCATAAGTTAGTTGGTGTTAAAAAAATGCATTAAAACGGGAAAAGCAAATGTTTGCCAATACACACCTGCAACAGCTCTGTCACCTGGCTTGCCTCCACGCATCTGACGGGAGGAAGCCGGGACAGGCTTACTATGACCTACATGCCATCCGATTGGCTGAGCAAAGTCATGTGGTTGGAGTCATGCATTTGTGATGCGTTCAATGGCAGGAAATAAGTGCAGGAAATTACTCTGGGTTACACTTGTGTAAAGCAAAACTTGTCTCAATTCAGTTGCTTTCTACGTGCTAATTTCAATGAGAGACCTTGGTTTCCTTGCAAAACTTTAAGGAAGATATTGCCTGACAGAAACCATGAATGCTGAAATCAGTTAGAATTTGCATAGACTGTCTGCATTTTCGGGGACTTTTTAACCAAAGATAAATAAGCTTGCGCATTACCCCCATATCCCACACCCAGCTCGTTCAAAGTGACACCCCAACCTGGTGCTCTTTGTTGGCCATAGCACAAAGTTTCATCAGTCCTTTAGTCAACAGAAATTTCATGATAACATAATCTTTATACGTGAGCAACGGATTTAAATAAAATTAAGGTTTCAAAAGACAAACTTGAAGATAAAAATATATATATACTCACCGGAGAGCCGCCAGGGTTTGCCGCTGCCATCTTGGCGCTCCTAAATTCAAAACTGCCTCTGCAGTCAGGCAGGGGAGGCGTGGAAATTGTCTTTGAGTTAGTCAAACGTTTTCCTTAGTTCGAGTAGATGATAAAAAAAATAAAATAAATGGGATTTTAAGTAGGACTAGGCGTTCTGTAATGATCTCTATTTAGGAGAAAAACTTAATCACTCACCTTTAAACAGCTCTCTTTTAGGAGACACACTGCTGGCTAACGGTGTCATGTGATCAAACAGCGTAATTTAATTGGCTGAGAGCCACTCGACTCGATCTGGTGCTGATTGCTCTGGCTTGGGTCATTAAAGTTCATCACTTTTGCAGTTGAATTTTTTGCAGGTGAATTTTTGCAGGTGAATTTTTTTCAGGTGAATTTTTGCAGGTGAATTTTTTTCAGGTGAATTTTTCAGGTGAATT